CAAAGGTTAAACTTTTTTCTTTTCTTTTTTTTTAAATAATTATTGACTTAGAGAGTCCAGAAAATTTAACTGCACTGATTTTATTGATGCTATTTTATTGAGCTAAAAACCTAGGATTAGTTTGCAAAAGTGAGTTTTTAAATAATCTCAAATATATAAAGAACAATTTGATTGACAGGAGTGGTCCTAGAGGCAAAGTTGTTCAGAATGAAGAGATCAATCATATGATATGAGGATATAGTGTGTGCGTGAATCTATGAACATTTTCTGCAATATGAGGTTATTTACCATAGAAATGTAGTGTTTTGTTCGTTGTGAGCCCAAGGATTCCAACGATATAAGACACTTGAGCCTGTGACGGTTTAGGAGTTATGAGCAATTTCGTACTTCTGATCATTGTAGCGACCCCGTCAGGCCGATAAGTTTTATGTAGAGAATGCTGATCCTTGGCCACTCTAACAATTACAATATGGTTTCTGCACTACGTGCTTGAACCCTTAATAATGGACGTGTCAGTCCTAATTTTAGAGGACTCAAGAGGACTCCTAAGTCACTAATACCAAATCACAAACCATCCTAAAATGGCAGTTACCGGCAATCCACTTCAGACCGTAAACATTTTAGAAACATTTTCCATTTAATTTAATTATGTTCTCCTTTTCATGTACAAATTGGGCAAGAAGTAACAACTGTTCTTGAGTCCAGTTTGGTTTTCTTTCACATTTGCACAACGTCTTACTATCAGCCATAATTATTCTAAGCTGTTAATTAAAAGGCTGCTTATATGCATATCCACTAATTGTTTGCAAGATGCAGACATGCAGGAGGCTGGCAATTACTGAACATATACATGTTTAATCAGTGACACTTGGTCTACATTTTAAAAAATGTATTTTAATATGGCAACATGATACCTCAATCTACAATATTTCTGTGATTAAATCACTGACAGAGACCCATCCCCTATCATCCAATCACTGTGGGCATAGGGCCACTGTTCCCGAGTTAGGCCTACGGAGGGCCTCTAAAGACGATATTCTCCCCAGGGATTTTTTTAAGCTTGTTGACATCATCCATAGCAACGAGGTCAACTCCGCCCTTTCTCTTAGCTTAATTGCTCCCCATTCTTAGTAAAAGTTGGTCTCTGCAGCTTTGTAAATAGGTTTTAAGAGGAAACTCTTACCTATAAACCTTTGCTCCTATTTAGAAGAACTCTTAGTGGTGAGAATTTTTTTTGGTGAATACAGCCCTAATTTGCTGCCTGTGTGCTGCCCATAACAACCATATTTTTCATTTAAACTGCTTACGAAAAAGAACTATGTATAATGCCAATTAAGGGGTTACAAATGAAACTAGACAATAAACTCAACTGCTTGAATGGGCGGCACTAAAGTGTATGCGTGCATGTCTAAATATTGCTCTGCAATGTGTGTAGATATTGATACCTCATGTTGCCTTAATTATATTCCCCTCAATTGCACCATTTGTTTAGAGTGCTTTGAGTGGATTGATATAAACATTGCATGTTTCTGTGTCTACAGTACAAACCTCCTCCACCAAAGGCAAATTCTCCCGCTGTATCCACAGTGTCTTCTCGTCTACCTCAGCGCTCAGCATATGGGCAGAGTGCTGGCACAGGTATGGACTTGTTTTAATCAATTATTTCCTTCTTGTTATTTTATCAAGAATCACCTTTGTGAAACTTGACACAACCAGAGCTGTTAAACTTACAGGATTGCTCCTGTGTTCGGCCACTTTAGTGAGCAAAAGATCCGTTTTTATTGCTTCAAATCCAGCTTGTATTATTTTGAATATTTTTATATAATTTTATATTACATATTAATTTTTTTTTTCAATTAGCTTTTATTTTCAGTTTGCATTTTAATTTTCAGTTTTAGAAATTTTGTTTTGTGCTTTTGTCAGTTTTATGGTGTTTTACTTAAATCACTTTTACTTCAATGGCTATAACTTTTGGAAATAATAATGAGATATTGTAACCATATGTGGCACAGATGTGTATGGGCTCAATCTTAAGTCTGAAGTCCTTAAAAAAATTGGTGTTTGGCCACTTGCTGGCGCTATATAAGGAAAATAGACAGTATAGAAATGTATTATTTTGTTGTTGTTGTTGTTTAAATAAAAAAAAATATTTTAGCTTTATTTCAGTTACATGGAACATGATCTTTACTTAATGTCCTAATGATTTTTGGCATAAAAGAAAAATCAATAATTTTGACCCATACAATGTATTTTTGGCTATTGCTACAAATATACCCCAGCGACTTAAGACTGCTTTTGTGGTCCAGGGTCACAAATAGTCTTTTGACTCCCTTCAAAACATTTAAAATGCACATTAGTACCATTGAGTTGACAAGCATCCATCACTTTTAAGAGGTTTTAGTGTGCTCCTAAAATACTTTATATTTTTGTTTATATATATTCAGATATTTTTGGCCCTGTTCCTCACACAAAGCAAAGACTTAGAGAACATAGTGTAGAAATGGTATTTTATTATTCATATTAAAATAAGGACATTAAAAAAAAGGCTCTGTCAATGGTTCGAAAAGCTCTTTCCCCTCTCCCTCCACAGGTATTCCTAGCAGCAAAACCTCATCCACTGGCTCAGTGAAGAGCATATCATCAGGATACTCTCCATTACGGAACTCCTCCTCTGGCTTGACCAGCCCTCCCTCTGAGTAAGACACCAGCTCACTGACCAGTCCTGATATTTGACATTTTCTTCAGGCTTTTAAGATCATCATGTTTGTGTTTGCAGAGGGAATATGAAACCCAAGGGCATGGTTTCACAAAGCTCGCTGAGAAATCCACCTTCTGGAATAGGGATGAACAAGAAGAAGGTCCAAAATGCAGACAACTGTATTTCAAGGTATGAAGTTGCAAGTATTGGTGTACAACACTGCTGTACTGTTAATTGTGAGTGACTTCTTGGGACTTGTGGTGATGAATGCAAATGAAATTGACTGGGAGAGATCCATCAACTGCTCCTATTCAATCCCTTTTTTTAGTCTTTTCTAATTCACAACATCAGTTACAAAAGGTCTTTTAGTCAGTTGTCAGTGTTTTTAGGCCAGTTTTTTTTTCTAACCTAACCTCTGGGTTACAGTAATGTTTTAAATAGTCCACATTGACTCATTCACATCTTGATCTTATTTTGTTAGGAATGATGTGAAAAATGAAAATGAAATCGATTTTTCCACAACGGGCACCAAGTTTTGCCATGAGTGTGGGACCAAGTACCCTGTGGACTGGGCCAAGTTCTGCTGTGAATGTGGAGTGAAACGAATGTGCATTTAATAAGTACACATAATAGTAAGACTGACTCACTAGCCTAAAAAAAACTGAGTATTCCTTTCCAACCCAAGAACCTAGTGTACTTGGCAAATCCTTGTGCTGTACAAATATTTCACTTGCAATCTGCTTTTGTTTCTATAGAATGAATCCCATCTCAATCTTCTGCTGTTTTTTTTTTGTTTGGTTTTTTTTGTAATATGAAAGTGCAATATGATTGGTTACTGCTACAAAAGTAGTAGTATTATCACCGTTATAGTTATGATTAAAATATTGATATGTTAAATTGATCTAGGCTTTAAAATGGGACCATATCACACACAAAATGCAACTATTCTAATGTTAACAGGTCAATATCTTATTGTAGTGTCATTTTGAGGGAATTCAAATGCTATGGTTTTACTTAAAATATATATATTTTTTTTTTTTGTTAAAAAATGTTAAATGCATTGACAACAGTTCTTTCACTGAGCAATCTGCTTTTGTATTTCACTTTTTTATACGTTCTTTATTATTTTGTGTTTTTAACAGTATTGAACATGAAATGACTTGTAGAAAACATTGTTGTATATTTATTTATATATCTGTTCAACCTTGGTTGATCCAGTAGTCTGTCCAACATGTTTACACATCATCACAACATTCAAAACTGAAATGTCATGTACATCCTTCAAGAGCATCCTCCATATTACAACCTTACAAAAAGTAGCTTTACAATGGTATTGTATTGCTTCAGAGCATTTAAGCTTTATCACTGCTGGTCCAGGGTGAGAGAGGTCGAGGCGTTGGTGTCTGTTTGTGCCGATCTCAAGCTCATTTGCATTTCAAAGCATCACTCTGGCAGCAAATATAGCTTATGAATACCTGCTATATGTATTATGACAGAAATTTTGACATTAAAGGATTGAATGGTTAAAATGGATTGAACTGATCATACAGAAATAAAGTGGAAAACAGAATTCAGATTGTGTCCTGTTTGATGCGTTTATTTAATCGTTTATTTAGGGCTGCCAATTTAACACATTAATTTAGTGTATTTATCTATTAAAAATATAAGCATTTCATCACTGACCCAGTGTTTTTATAATGCCTATTCAGTGATTTACTCACAAAAATGTAATGTCATTGAATTAATTATCTTCATTTAGGGGCTTTTCTTAACAAATATTGATATACTGTATGCAATTTATGTAGTTATTCATTAAAGCATTGATTGACAGCCCTAGATTTGAGGGTTTTTTTTGTTTGTTTGTTTTTTAACATGGTTCTGTTCCATATTTTATTTTCTCTTTATGAACCCAATATTTTCCTTGCAGCTACTGGCATGATGTTACACAGAAAACGGAAAATGAAAGTGGAATTTTGATGTTACACAGCACTACAAAAATATTTTTAAAAATCACCATTAATGTCAAAGGTTCTGGAAAAAAAAATAGAGTTCTGTACCGTTATATATAAAAGCATATATATTTGTGTAATATGAAAGCAGGGAGAAGTGAACAGATAGTTATTTATACAGGAGAAGAGACCCTATAAAGCTCATGTACCATATAAGCCCACCTGTTTATTTTTTTTAAATATAAGAATGATAGACAGCTTGTTTTACTGCTAATGTCTTTCATTCACTGTAGAAGTAGCATTAAAAATCTGTAAAAAGGCAGTTTAAATAAAATAAATAAAAAGCAACCGGATATGATTTTCTTGGTATTTAAAAGCAATATTCTGTGTCTGAAAATCTTGAGCCTCTGTAGTTAGTGTGGAATGCAGAGTTTTGCTCACAAAGATAGATGTGGTAGAAAGAAAAACAGTAAAAACTGTGGACAACCACATTAAATGGAACCATTTGTGTCAAAGACAAAGTTTAATGTTTTGTCTGTTATTATAATACATAAATATGATTCTTTTCAAGAGGCTTTATAAGGAATGGTTCTATTGATAACCCACAAAACTAGGAACCACATATAAAAAGCATTAACTAAATTCACTGCGTTTGGAGCACATCCAGTTCATTAACTTTACCTACTTACAATATTTGTCATTGTATGCTGGGTAAAAAAAAAAAAAAGTCAAGACTTGCTACTGCAAAAGGGGTACGGAATGTGATCCAGATTACTGGGGGACCCGTATTGAAAGTTTTATATTGGGCCCAACAATTGCTACAGTTGTTATGCCTCCCCGAACTGGAAATACTGGCCTAAAAATAAGGGAAGGTTCACAAACGTGCTGCTTTGTCAAAACAACATAAAAAAAATGGAGTTGAAAAGAAAAACCTGAAACTAACAGTGAAAAACTGGGTCCTGATAGATGAACCAAAGAAAAGATAAATCTGCTGACTTTCTTAAAAACGGTTTCTAAAGAAACAGCCATATAAAAAGTTGTTTGGTTATTGTTAAATAGGTGCTGGAATTATATATGTGTACTTATATGCCCATTTCAGAGGTTTGCAATTAAATAAAGCAATTCAATTTTGTTTGAAAAAAACAAGTGTTTCAATGAGAGCTTAAACTTCGGCTTTCTCAGAATTAATTGAAAAAACGTATAAGATTTGGAATTGGGTGGGCTGAATAGGGTCGCTTCCCCAAATAAGAAGTATGTGTAGATTATAAAGTTCTAACTTGAGGCCTAGAGAATTAATATAATATAGGCTTTGACGCCAACTTTGTGTCACAGCAATGTACAGTTAAACTCTACTCGTTCAGCAATCAATAGCAAAAATAACAATACAAAGTACAAAGTTTTGAAACATTTTCATGCATAGTAGTATTTTTCATGTTTATGCTTAGCATGTATTTTCCCATAAAAAGCATTGTTTGTCTTCAGACAAATACTGAATAGTGTGAAAGGTACATGGTTAGTCCAGTTACTTCATATTCTGTACATTAATTTGTTGTAGTAGAGATGGATGGAGGCCAAGTATTATATAACGGTTTGCTCTGAAGTCTTCCCACGCTCTGGAAGGTCTGTGCTGAGGGACAGATACGCATTGTATTGCTCAAATTGTCTCTGTAATTTGGCAAGAATGTCTTTCACTCTGCAAATCTTCCACTTTCGTATTTGCTGTTTTGGATTTTTTGTCCCCTCCCTCTGTTCATCCACAAATTAAACAAAAAGGAAGTTTAAATGAAAACGATGTAAAAGAAAACTTTATGTGAGAAAACGGGTTGTTTCGGTTACCTTCTGATGGCACCAACATCTCAAGGACGCATTTATTTCTTCCACAAGTTTATATAAAACATCTTTTAGTTGTCCATTTACATTCTCTGATTCCCTCCCGATTCTCCTCAGTTTTCCGTTAACCCTGCAGATTTTTCTGTGGATGGACTGTTGTGCCTGTGAGCACATCAGAAACAAACCAGCAGATGAGTGACAAGAATGGAGGAGAAACTTGTGTCTTCAAACAGGGTTGTTAAACTAACAAGTTGCATCTGTGTCTATGTGCTGTGAACAGCACCCAGCTTTCCCTGAACTTCATATGTATAAGCTCTGTAATGAGTGAGAATGGCAGGTCAGAACATTTACTAACCAAATCTTAGAAACTACTTTTGCTCTTTCAGTTCAAGAGAGAAACATGACTAACATATGCGTAAACGCTTGAACAGTTGGAATTTGTTTAATAGATAAGTATAGTCATTTTCTTACATTTTTTGGCTCCGACATGCTGACATTTCTTATTGTGCAGTTTGAATTTAGTTGTTCATTAATGGCCTCCTGAAAAGTACAAATACAATTTTGTTGTTACATTTTTTTTTTTTTTTTTGTTAATGTTTAAAACATTTTATTTTGTGGATAATATATGTTTATTAGCCATGGTTCATAAAAAAGTTAGTTTGTCTATCATCTATCATGCCTGGAACATAACCATATTTTTTACAGATAACTCCTGCCCATTTTATTGTAAATTTAATATACTTTTTTTTTTTTAAGTGTATAGGGGAGAGCAGGGCACAAAGTAACACTTTTTGACTTTCTCAAATTGTGTATTCAAAACACTTTTGAATTTTGGTGCGCTTTTTTCTCTATATAATGTTGATATGGTAACTAGTAAATGCTGTAAATTTGGTTATGCTAGCATGTGTGGAAATATTTAAACCACGTGTGTTACAATTTACCCCGCGTTACTTTGTGCCCCGCGCTCCCCTATACACACAAGTGAGAATAGGCCAATATGAGATTAGCTATTAGAATCCAGTCAACATGTAATTGTGATACTTACAACGTGCTTCAGCTGTATCCTAATGATATTGCGGTAATCCTCGGTGATCTGGTTTTTATTGTGGCCACTTTCACAGGAACACGCAAGAGGTAGTATAATAAGCATCAAAACAGGAGTACCAAGACGATGCTGCGGATAAAAAACCACACATGCACATGCGTAACCATTAAAAGTTAGTGTTACACACGGTTTCATTCAGTGATATGCAGGATTTACGCGTAGCCTACGCACCACTCAATACTTTGCCATTCAATAGGATCAACCTGACTGAGCTTTCAGGATGATCATTTCCATATGAATAAACCCTTGTGAACATTCACTTTCATAATAAACACGCTTTTTTTTTTGTAAATCACTTACGAGTTTCGTTTTGATTGTTGCTTTACAATCACCGGGAACCCCCAAGTAACGATAGCTATAAATACAAGCTTTTCCAGTAGTCGGGCTCAAACTACGCTGTGCTCGTGTAGGTAAGAGTAATGCATTCATTCAGCTCGTTTTCTTGTGCTACACTGACAACTTACCATTGGTCATTTTTGAGCCATATTCGCATGCAGACCGAAGCCGTCACTACAAACTCGTTTCAAGATGGACAGATGGAAATGCATGCTATCCTATTGATTGTCCACGTGAATCAGTTTGGTGGTCAGTTGTTGTATTGACTCGAATGCTTTCCTCGTCTTTAAGACATTGAAACGCTCATAGTCCATTGGAATTAAACTTCCGTCACTGCTGGATCTCATCGCTTTCGTTTTGCCTCTGCATGACTGGGGCTATATCGCTGCGGGACATGCTTCGTGTGAGTTCGGATTGAACGGAGAGGACAAGTTACCGAAAGGAGGGGCCTTCCCGGTTTCCACATGACAGCTGCAGTCAGTCTGGTTTGATCGCATTATATCGTCGGAGAACATCAATTGCGTGACTTAAGTGTATAGCAATTATCTATAAATGTCTGTGTCAACGACCCATTAATGTTGGTTTCAATGTTTGGTTCATTTAAGGAATTCCCCAAAAATGTTGTTATCCAAATAGTGCGATGATTCGAGCACCTCAAGTGGAACAGATTCCACTGAATCATATCGCAATAAATGTCAAGTGACTGTCAAGTGCAGTATGACGGTGCGGTTTTTCGTTTATCTTCTGAATCAGATTGTAGTCTGGAAAGGTAGACAGATTCTTAAATTACATTTACAAAACATTTGGGATTCTGAGTAATTTTATCGTTTTATGTTTAATATATGCAATGGTAAGCGACAGACCATTTATTGCTGTGGTGGCTGAACTTTATTGAGGGCCGTGGGACAAACGTAAAGGTTGCATTATATCCAGCTATATTATATTAAAATGTGTTAAATTTGTAAATTATTTTTAAATGATTAAATAATTAAAATGATTCCATTTAAATTTTAAATTATTAAATAATGAAACTGTTTTTTTTTTTACATTTTTAAAAACCAAATTCAAATTGTTTTTTACATTTCAATGCACAAATAAAACAAAAAAGTGTTCAAACAAAAATATAAATGAGAAATTAATTATGTTTCAATTGCATGTTTTTCTTTTTTCTTTTGATATGACAAATCAAAGGTCGTCACGGGCCAACTTTGGCACCTTAGGCCCTGGTTTGATAATCTCTGATTTATTGTCAATCAATATATAACGTAAATCGCGAATATAAACTATTAGGACCTTTAGGACCTTCATTCTAAAATACATTCATAGGACATTTTGCGCAACCATTCATTGTCTTTTGGAATGAAATGAAATTCCAGGACATAGAACGATTCATAGACCTATTTGACTGACATTTTCCGTGGTATTATTTACAAATGTAAAAAAAAAAAAAAAAAGGTTTTATGTATTTTGACCATTTTAATTGTATGCTGTGTTGAACTAGCCTACTTGTTCGAAATAGTATAAATTACACATTCCCACAAATAAAGACACAGTCAAGGTTTCAGATGTTATTAAATGTTATTGAATCACAAAACAACATAGGCTATGCATGAGCAGGCTGAGTGAAGAAACACGGAATTCAGAAACATAAGCTACTTTATACATGGTGAAACACAGACTTTTTCACTGACAACTTGAACAAATGACAATTGAACAGTTCATGGCAGTTCAGTTAGTTCATGGCACAAACATCTGAATGTATTTTAACTAATAATCTGTTAAGCATTATATATTTGTCACTGTTATTAAAGTTATTATAAAGTGTTACGGGAACAACTTAATGAAAAACACATAGAGTGATTGCTTTGCTTGGATGAATATGAATATTATTTAAGTTATGTAATGTTTGCACAGTAGGTCTAGGCCTTGCTTATTGACTTCTCAAAACATTGGCTAACATTCGGCAAGTTTCTCTTAAAGGTATGAACAAACATTCTTCTAGTAACGTGATATAATATTTGTTCAGAGTTATTTGGTTTGAATAATGTTCTGAAAACATTACCCAAAAAACATCATTTATATATTGTTTTTTTAACTTTTTTTCTGACACATTTTAGTTGGACGCTCATCTAAAAATGTTTGAATGTTACTATTTACTTCAGAATGTTCACAGAACATTTAAAAGTAGCATTCCTATAATGCAAAATGATTAAATGGAATGTTACCTTAACGTTTGCACCAAGAATTTTGTTTTTTTTTAAACATAAAAAAAAAAACTGGACTTTCAGAGAATGTTTAGAGAACATTTATAAATAACATTTTCTTAACTTAATGGAAACATGTTTTTATTAGCTGGGACTAATCTCTAATAGAGGATTACTCAATGAAGCAAAGGTTGGCTCCCTGTGTGTTCTGGTTAATCAACATTTAACTGTAGTGATGACAAATGTTGAATGCAGTCACATTTGGCAGCGAAATCTCAAACAAGTCCAGTCAACTTTATTTATATGCTTCTCTTAATGTATTCAGCAAATTATACTTCAGAAGAACTAAAAAGATTAAAAGAATAATTACAGTATAAACTAACAATAACAACAATAAAAATAACAGAAAGAACAAAACTACAAAATAAATAGCCCAAATTAAAATATAAACAAGAAAAAGACATACAGTATGACCTGCTGTTGGTGATGATAGGCCTTGCCCAAAAATATGTTTTTATGTCTAAATGAAAATGCAACGGATTCTTTTTTAATGGCAGGTGCTTTGCTTCCTACAGATGCCATCATAGCTGGAAGTAAACACGAGGGGGGAAAAGGAGTTTATAGAGAGGTTGCTTTTTTTTTTTTTGGTTTCAAATATTTTTATGTGTTATAAGCCAGAGTAGGGCTGGACAATAATTTAATATCAATATATATCGCGATAATTTTTTTTTCAATAATGGTGATATGATTTTTAAACACATTTCCAATATTTCAATATATATTACAGCATTTGTCACTGACTGATGTTCAGGGTGAGGCCGTCAGAAAGAGCAGAACACAATTGGCTACTTGCGCAGTGTTTCTTATACATTGACTTATTTGTGGCATTGATAGGCTTTTGTTTAATTTTGTTCATATCAATATCGGAATTAAATCGTATTGAATGAAATTAAGAAATATATTGTGATATACATTTTGGCCATATCGTCCAGCCCTAAGCCAGAGGCAATAATTTAGCAGCATATCTTTTTTTATAACCACAAATCTGCCAGGGATCATTTTGGATGCAGAAGTCCATCATTTAAATCCATAATTTAATCATTCATTTTGGTATGAAAAATTAAAATAATCTTAAAATCAAGTTATCTAAACATTTTAAGAACAGATAAACATGAATGATCTTTCATGACTTTCTGACATTAACATCCTAATTTTCCTAGAATTCCTAATATGCATTTGAGAAATAAGAACAGATAAAAAAACACAAACAAAGGTACGGTAGCATCTGAGAAGTGTCTCATGTGAAAGCAAACATGAGTCACACAAGCAGGAAACAAAGATTCTGCGTAATTAAAAAGATCTATCACAAGCTGTCTGGTTTCACCTGGGTACCTGGATGACTTATCAGACAGGATTGTACTTGCTTCTAAAACACAATATGATTCACTGACCAACTATTTCTCCACCTTTGCAGAAACAATGCTGTTTCTTGTAAGACTGCAATCAAAACAAAACAAACAAAACTGAAGGAAAACTCAAATGTGAAAACCCTGTATTTCTTTAAAAAATTATATATATATAAAAATATTTTATGTGAAATATCTTATTCAGGTCAGTACTAAATAAAAAATAACATGCATTTTGTATGATCCCTCGTATTTTGGTAAAATAATTAACATTTTGCAGATTCTGCAAGGTGTATGTAAAATTTTGACCTCAACTGTGTGTGTGTGTGTGTGTGTGTGTGTATATATATATATATATATATATATATATATACACACACACAATTATTACATAATTTTCAGGATCACACAAAGATATTTGCATATTGAATATTGTAATGCTCCCAAAGAACACCAGAACAATATTTCCTGTTTGGATATTGAATCAAAACAGGGTTTTATTTTGATCATCAGTTCAGCCAATAAGCGCCAGTATCATATTTAATACGCAAGGCTTATATACGTATACTATACAAATATATGTCCCTCTAAATTTATTTAGCCCAGTAAATGTTCATCTTGAAATTTCACTAACAATAAAATAGTTGTACTTACATTTACTTTATAAAACCCAGCAAAAGATTTCCCCGCAAAAAAAATATTTTTTAGAATTATACTAAAATGCCTTACTTTTAGTAATTACTAAAACAGTATGAACTGTTAGTTAGAGGGCAGAAGGAATATAGTAGATTGTATGCAACAGGTTGATAATTTTGAGAAATTCATGCAAATATGATATTTAAAGAAATTTAGACTTATTTACTATCACTTAAAAACACTGGAATATTCAGTTACTTGATTGCAATACCAAAATGCATAAGTGGATCTGAGTTCTGTTTGATTATAATTATAATTTTTTATAATTATTGCACAGTAATAAGATATAGAAATTAAAAATGTACATTCATATTTACATTCGTAAATGAATACAGTACACCAGAGATGCATGCTGCTGTCATGAAGCTGTACAAACACAGCTTGTTATTAAGAAGTCTTCATGTTATTAGATTAGCTTGTTATAGATCTTTCTTCAATGTTATAGTAAAAAAATCTTTGTTAAAATGTTTACTTCCATGCTTACTCCTCTGATACAACTGAAATGTGCAACCAGAAGTTTATTTTATCATTTTGATATTGTTAATTAATCAATTGTAACAATTCAACGTGGGTTTAATAAATCACAGCAAAGGCTTTTCAGTATTGATTCAGTTTAATAATAAGTTATCTTTTCATGAATTGCTTTTTGAATTTTTTTTAATCTTTATTATCGTTCTGATACATGGGAAAAGTACAGTGGTTTCCCACGGTTTAGGAGATGGCATTCACACCTTTATGAGAAAAATAATTGCTCAAAATATGAATTCAACTGCCAACAACTGACTCCCAAAAGGCATATATTAGCCGTGTGCAGACAAATATTGTTCATAATCTACAATATATAATTACATACATTCAACCTTTTTAAAACATATGTGTGTGTGCATGGAACAATGCTGAACAATTTTTCTATATCCTGCAATGCACAACAAATAAAAGATGGCATATAGCAGGGATCCTCAAATCTGGCCCACGAGATCCACTTTCCTGCAGAGTTTAGCTCTAACCCTAATCAAACACACCTGAGCATGCTAATCAATGTCTTCAGGATCATTAGAAAATCACAGGTAGCTGAGTTTGATCAGGGTTGGAGCTAAACTCTGCAGCGCATTGGACCTCCAGGGCAAGATTTGAGGAACCCT